CTATATATATATATGTATATACATATATTATAATATATATATATACATATATATATTATATATATATATATATATATATATACATATATATACATATATATTTTTATGTATATATATATTTATATGTACATATACGACGTAAGTCGTGTATCAGCATATATATGTACCTGCTCACAACTTTATTCCCTATTTACGGTTTCGACTTGCACTGGGCCATGTTGGGTAAGCCTGTCCTTTACACTCCATTTTATAAATTTTATTCCTGGACAGGCACGTGTTTCTAATTTGGGGAACAGCTGAAAGTTGGCCCTCGAAGGTGGAGCTAATGGCTGGACCATCAAGTGATCTGAGCAGAGCAATCGGAGTACTCAGTAAAAGGACTGGTCTTATAACTAAATTCACCCTGTGCGAAGGTATTGCGGCTCCACACCGGTGTGTTTACTTGTAGTTGAGTTGCAGTACTTTTTATACATTACTTCTTTGGGTATTTGAGGGTGCTATATATATAGCAGTATATTTCATTGAGTGCTATATATATAGCAATGTATTGCATTGAGTGCTATATATATAGCAGTGTATTGCATTGAGTGACATATATATATCAGTATATTACATTGAGTGCTATATATATAGCAGTATATTGCATTGAGTGATATAAATATAATAGTATATTGCATTGATGTATATAGCAGTATATTGCATTGAGTGCTATATATATAGCAATGTATTGCATTGAGTGCTATATATATAGCAGTATATTGCATTGAGTGCTATATATATAGCAGTATATTACATTTAGTGCTTTATAGATGGCAGTGTATTGCATTGAGTGCTATATATATAGCAGTACATTGCAATGAGTACTATTTATATACAGTATATTGCACTGAGTGATATATATATAGCAGTATATTGCATTGAGTGCTATATATATAGCAGTGTATTGCATTGAGTGCTATATATATAGCAGTATATTGCACTGAGTATTATTTATATATCAGTATATTGCATTGAGCGATATATATATAGCAGTATATTGCATTGATGGTGTTTGCATTTAAAAACCTCGCAGGAGAATGGATCATCACAGCTTTAGTTTTGAAAAAACAGAATTTGTATTGAAAAACGGAATGGAGCATACTCTCGCGTTCTCACAGTTGTCCAAACAACCCTGTGGTTGTACACACCCTACACTTTAACACACAGCTCCTCGGAGCCGCATGTGCACCTGATTCCGAATACTCGACAATACAAATACATACCCACATATTCTGACAACCGTATACATATATGTATATATATATATATATATACCCTCATTGTTCTACTACAGCGGATCCGTCGATAGGTGATCAAGAAGGGGATCTTTTGGTGTATCCCGAGCGGAAACGGTTCAGAGGTGTAGACGCTGATGAGTTCGTCAATAACATATTGGCCAATGCAGAGTTTGGAAGTGGCACGGACGTGCACACCAGCGATATCTTTGTTTGCGCACACGTATGTTATGTTGTGTATGTGCGTATTCAGAGTGACTTATAGTACGTGTATGTTGTGTGTGTGCGTATTCATAGTTTCTTATATTACCCGTATGCTGTGTGTGTGCGTATTCAGAGGTCTTATAATACTCGTATGTTGTGTGTATGTGTATTCATAGTTTCTTATAGTACTCGTATGTTGTGTTTTTATGTATTCAGAGTGTCTTATTATACTCGTATGCTGTATTTGTGCGTATTCATTGTCTCTCATAGTATTCGTATGTTGTGTGTGTGCGTATTCAGAATGTCTTATAGTACTATTTTGTCGTGTGTGTGCGTACACATACGTTCTATGTGTGCATATTCAGATTTTGAGAATTCCATTAATAATTCATGCTCAGGCTAAACGTGACATGCGTTGTGGGAAGTGTGGGCCCGAACTAGTGGACGCCATAAGGACATGTGCGAGTGACCATCGCACCCGCACGGCCATTCAGAACGCTTCTAAAAATAGCACACAGCCAGACCGCCATGATGTGGGTGTGGCGGTGCGCGGCTGCTCACACGTGGGAGGGCATAAGTATGCAGGTGAGTAAGTATCTGCTCTTGTAAGCAGTTCTATAAATAGAATACGACTGGGAACGTTGCAGTGCTGATAAATTTAGTCGCCTGTGCGCTTTGAGTACAGATTGAGTTCCTGTGGCAATGACTATTGTAGCATTGTCGTCGCGTGAATGTATCGTCTGGATGATGTGAGTGTTCCCATTTGCCCAGAGACGAGCGAAGGGGCTATAGCTTTTTCTGTACTCGTGAACCAATAGCCATGTAAGCAATGTAGTATGTGTGAATAGCCATGTAAGCAAGGTAGTGTTTATTATTAGCAATGTAAGCAATGTAGTGTGTATGAATAGCGATGTAAGCAATGTGATGTGTATGAATAGCCATGTAAGCAATGTGGTGTTTATGAATAGCCATGTAAGCAATGTAGTGTGTAGGAATAGCCATTGTATTGTGTATGTTCTCCGGTATGCGCTCTGAACGATAGAATGGTGTGCAACGCGTATACGCACTCCTCGTCGATATATCACCAAAATCACCTGAGCTGTGATTTTGAAATCACTACGCAAACGCACAAGCAGTCCGCTATACTCTTTAAACAAAGTTTTATAGTTGTATGACAAATGGCGACCGTAGCAAACCACTGCACGGACAGTATAGCAATCGTATAGATGGAATTTATCAACTATCCCTATATTGTAACAATCCTTGTATTGTAACTATATTTGTATTTTAGTCATATCTGTATTGTAACTATATTTGTATTTTAACTATATTAGGTTTTAATACAGTTGAAATTCAAACAGTTAAAGGTTCAGTTCAAACCATCAACCATTTGCATTTTAACTATATTTGTATTGTACCTTGTATTGTTCTGTAGAACATGGGTTGTCTCAGTGTGCATCTCTACCAGGGGGTGACAATGCCTATGTTCATGCACAGATTGAGCTGTTATGCGCCATCTCTGGTTACACACCACCTTTGGCGTCTGTTGCAATATATATCATGCCTTTCCCATTGGTATAGAATATATCATGCCTTTCGTCGATTGCGAAATATAGGTATAGAGCCAATCCTTTCCGTAAGTTCATGTTAAGTTGTGTCTCTTATCTGTTGCTCGACAGCCAACGTTTATGTACTCCGGCTCTCATCCTTTCTAACACTCTGATTGTGCACAGTGTAGTGTATCTATGTGAACGCGTTTGCATCCCACTTTCCACTATTCCCGGTTGTTACGGGTAGCAAGTGTCCGTTCTTGTCCCGTGTGCGAGTTCGGCGCACGGGTGCAATCCTCATTGTTGGCGGCACATGACGAGATTTAGGGAAATTACCTACCAATTGACACCTAATCTTGCATTCTGATTGGCTCAGGTAATCTCATCGTATATGGCAGTGACAAATTGAGTGTGGAGGAACAGAAAGAAGGCGATTGGTACGGATACATATGCCCCAAAGACGCGTCTACTATAGTCCAAAGGTATATGACATTCAAATGATACATATACGTTAAAGACGCGTCTACTATAGTCCAAAGGTATATGACATTCAATTGATACATATGCGTTAAGGACGCGTCTACTATAGTCTAAAGGTATATGACATTCAATTGATACATATGCGTTAAAGACGCGTCTACTATAGTCCGAAGGTATATGACATTGAATTGATGCATATGCGTTAAAGACGCGTCTACTATAGTCCAAAGGTATATGACATTCAATTGATACATATGCGTTAACGACGGGTATATGACATTCAAATGATACATATGCGTTAAAGACGCGTCTACTAGAGTCCACAATTATCTATATATCCACATGTATAGCGTACAGTGGCACATATGCAGATACGTATCATCTAAGCCTGTACCTTATGATAAAGCAGGAGATATTACATCTTGGCTGAGCCGTCTCTGCTCGTTTGGCGCATACGACAAATCAATGGTGTTATATTACATATTCTAGGCGATAGAATGTAGCCTGTCTGTCCCCAAATGGTGTGAAACCATGCTTAGTTAAAGGGTCGTACGTCTTAAGTTGTCTATGCCACCTACCTCGTGGTGCACCCGAATGAGTCATGGTATGAGAATGCCCACACCCTCAGTAGTCCGCTTATCACCGTGTACTACGGTATGTACAACATCAGACCACGCCTGTAGAGCTGTGTATATAGAGACCGACTCGTCATCAGGGGTTGTGTGGGATAGGTTGACCTCGATTCACGAGAATGCATATTCATCAGTGTGTATGTTAATATGTTCTTCACAGAGCTGTAGGTTTAGAGACGAACGAGCCGCTTGTTAAGTTGTGGAGAGGGCGCCTGGGCATGGGCAAACAACCGCATAAGCTGATGGTGGAGCAGAAGATAGCCGAGTATGCGGAGGCGAGGTAAGCTTGTGTTTCTTACGAGCATATGCAAACAATACAAATACAGACACGGCCTATATGCTTGCACAATTACCCTTCAGGTAGTTATATACTCTTTGCGCTGATTCATATTTTTGGTACAGGCGTCTTAGAGATTGATTTAGACCTACTAGCACACACCATTTTATGATACTTGTTGCTACAGATTCGTTTCTCTACTAGTCCCAGGTGCCCTTGCTCACAGTTGTCGGTTGTGTGCTCACTTCACTTCCTATATATTTATACGGGTAGTCCTAGTGCTCTTTTATTCGCCGAGGCGATACGGGTTGTGGTTTGGTGTACGTTAAAGTGTATGTACGGTAGAACGCAGGTATACCCGGGTGGAGTGTTATATCTCTACATGGCCTGTAGCCACAAGCTCGCATGCTCCTCCGCTGTTACTGCCACTCGTCGTATGATTGTGTGCAAGTGACTGGTGTAGTTTAACAAGGAGAAAAACACCACTACAAGTCACTCCTCTATTAATCTATTATAACACTCCCAAAGACCGAACATCTATTATAACACTCCCAAAAACCGAACATCTATCATAACACTCCCTAAGACCGAACAATGTATTCAAGCTCGTAACCATGCCCCAATATAGTCTGTCAGTAGAGCTCACGTTTCTCTTTCATCCTCAAACGGCATATACAGAAATCCATCGCCCAAGCGTCACTTCATGAACATGTTTGGGTTCAACGCTGCCGCACCCGCCGCTGCTGCGCTGGCTGTGGCTGCGTTGGTGGCCGCCATGCGCTAAGATGGAACGCAACACGTGCGCATATATATATAAACACGTGCGCATATATATATATATAAACACGTGCGCATATATATAAAGCTACTGTATACTAAGGGCATATGCGATGTTTTGAGTGAATTATTAATAGTCCCATCTGACGCCCTGTCCTGGAACCAGTTGCGACGGACTTTGTTTTATCAAATGGACATAGATCTGTGTGTGTTTCTGGCGCGGCAGATGTTGGTAGCTCGATGAAAATATATCTATTGCAGGCCACATATGAAATCGCTGCTCAAATGCCCGACAAGAGATGAGCTAATTATAAGAGGAACGTTTGGGTTGAGGGGAAAAGGCCAATAGAAGTATACGATTGGACATAGACGTCACATCGAAACGTAACTATGTATATCCTTGTAGATCACGTGCTCGTATATGCATATATACATATATATATATACATATATATGTATATATATGTGTGTGTGTATACGTATATATACATCATATATGCAAATGTATGCGTATATATATATATATCTGTGTATATATATATATATATGTGTGTGTGTGCGTGTGCGTGTGTGTATGTATGAATATGCATGTAACATATATATATATACATATATCTATGTGTGTGTGTGTGTGTGTACATGTCATCTGTATACATATATATATATATATATATATATACATATATAAATGTATGTATGTATAAATGTATATGTATACATATATAATATTTTTGAGTTTTGTGTATGTGTATTATATTAAAATAAAATTGGTGATGTACATCCTTGTATATTTAGTGATGTATATTTTTTTATGTTAGTATATATATAAATATATAGACATATACATATTTGAATATATATTTATATATATATATATTTATATATATATATATATATATATATATTTATATATATATAAATATATATATAATATATAATATTTTTGTAGTTTTGTGTACGCATATTATATTATAATAAACTTAAGTGATGTACATCCTTGTATATTTAATGTATATATTTTTTATATGTTAGTATATATATATATATAGACATATATATTTGAATATTTATTTATATATATGTGCGTGTGTGCGTATATATATATATTTATGTAGGTGTATATATACATATATATATGTATGTATAGATATATGTATATATGTATGCATATAGATATATATTTATGTATAGATATATATATACATATATATTTATATAGATATATTTATATGCATATGCATATATCTGTCAATAACTGTGTACATTCTTCTATTTGTATATATATGTGTATGTGTCTGTATTATAGATGTATTTATGTATATATATATATATATATACGTATATATTCGCATATATATATATGTGTGTGTGTGTGTATATGTATATGTATATAGATTTATATATACAATTGTAAATGTATATATATAT